CCCCTCCCCCCCCCCCCTCCCCACAGACAGACATATTATACCAATACCCTCCCTCTCTTCATGTGTCACCATCTCTCCCCTTGACTTTAACCTAATTATATATGCACAAGTTCATTCAACTTAAAAGCATACACTAAAATCATCAATGAACCAACAACAATATACGCAGTACAATCCCACATGCGGAGTGTAGAAACAAAAGTGTATAAATAGTCTTATCCCTGTCTTGTGAAGGTAGAGAAACTCGAAATCAATCTATTACTTTAAATTAAAAGAATTCAATGATCTAAATGTTGCATGTATGAAAGGACGGCATGTGAATACTATCATATGGATCCTTTCGTACATTGACTGTGGTATTCAGATGCATTCACATAAGACCAGAACATTTTCCTTTCAATATTTTGGTACCATACAAAAGAAATTGAGTATTCTAAGTCCAAATTAAACTTTAGAATAATGGGTGGAATAGCTCAATACACTTAATGTCAAATATTTCGAACCTTAGCACTTATCAAAGCGTAACACATTGTAAAGTCGACCATAAAACAGTTGAATCACAGTCTATTTTAGCATAATTGAATGTTTCAAGTTAATTATTATGACAACTTGTACCTAGCTACCATGTTATTTGACATTATTGGATTAATCTATCTATTTGATAAGCGCTATCGACAACTTGCTTTTTTATAAAGGAGAAAATAATTGTGTTGATTTTGTTACGTACGTCGTAAATTAACTTTTTGTGTGTAATATTGTCAAACAAAAAAAGTAGATAGTGAGGGGATAAAAAAAAAGGAGACAATTATCAATACATGACCTATATAAGCATCATGTTAGCTTTTCTCAAAATCATACCCAGAAAGTCAGCTAAAAAAGGGGGAAAGATTAAAGAAAATCAGAAAAAATAAAATAAAATCTGCACAAAGAATAATGAATCATCTTATTCCAAAAACGAGGATATAGAAATATCAGGAGAAGAAAAGAATTAATGACAAAAATAATACGTAAACGTATATCACGAGATGTAACATATAGTATTTAATAGCATGAATAGGGTAAGCTTGACAGTGAAGTAACATAATAATATTTTGAACAAGAAAACTTGGCAACCAGTAGCTGGGCCAATTAAAGGATTTTGTATAAGTAAAGTCCAATAGAAAAAGGAATCTTTTACGTAGCATACAAATAAACATTTGTGTAGGGTTAAATGTTCTTGTGTATTATACATTATATGAACCAATAATGTAATGGATCTTTGCATTTTAAATTCAATTTAATTTGTTTGCTCTTAACCTTACATTATGGAATGTAAGTTGATGGATGCCTTCACCTCGGTAAGATTTTTATCTTGAAAGAGATTAAGTAAAATAAGTTTCAGATCATTGATTATGTAACATAGGAGAGTAATAACACGTTAATATAGCTGAAGCCTTCAAGTCCTATTATATATTGACGAGGACTTTTTTCATTATTTATTCTATTTTCTATAGAACCTTGCCAATACAATCAATGGAGTTATCGTACATGACTTCAATTCTTTAATGTTACTAGTATTTATGTAGTTTAACTTTGTTATATTATATATAACTTACCATAATCTTTAAATATAACTAATTTCAGTATTTATGAGCAATTATGAAAGTTTTATTTATAGTGATAAGATAATGGAGTATAAAAGTTTTATATATAATTAAGAGAAAACAAAAAACAATAAATGTGGTGACATGAAAAAAGGGACCCTCGTTCAGTGTGTAACTTCATTTTCTAAGCTTGCGGAGGACACAGATAGGACAGACTTGGTCAGCCTCAGTTTTGTGAAAAGACACTATCACCCTTCTTTATTTTACTATACTTGCACAACTAGGGTTAACTTCCTCATAAAACAACCCAATTAATCTCCAAAAAAACTTACTCGCACCCTTTACTTGTATTTTCATGTGCAAGTATATAAATATTTTTCCCACCTAAATATGACCAATTGATCGACATATATGTATATTTGGTTAGATATAATTAACAGCATGCACATAAATGTATCTTTACTAGTAAATTTTATACGCCTTCTCTCTAATTAGGTCCATTTGTTCAGAAAAAACATATCTAAGCGTGGATTTGTAAACAAACATAAATAAATTACTCAACTCAATATAGATTATATATTAATGACGATGATTGAGCCGTTGGAATAGTGTTAATCTATTCATTTTATAGTGGGACATATGTAAGTTTTTCGAAGAGTCAACTTGAAAAGTTAAAAGGGGGCAAAATCAATCAACTTTTAAGAAAAAAATAGTGCAATATCTAGTGGTAGCCTTTTTCATGTTTCTGATTTTAAACTGTTTCTGCTCCCTAGCTTAAATTAGTACTAAATTTTCTTTCTTTTGTTTGCATGAAATAAAGGAGACTTTTGTTGTTCTAAAGCTTTCACAACGCAGAAATTAATCCCATTGTCTTATTATTGACAAACACCTTTTGTGCTTTTTCTTCTCTATTTAATTATCAATTTTTTCATCAACATTGCCAACTTTCATTAATTTTCCTCCCTACCTACAAGGTAATGTTAATGTGGTCCATTTTCCCTCTTTTGCAATCGATTTCGCTATTGTCTCCTTCTGTATATATATGATCGTGTCTAAGGTCATATCAGGTTCAAGCTCAAGGAACTACACATTATTGACTAGCTACAATATGCAGCGCCGTGGCTAAGAACATTATTATTTGTACACAATATGGAAAAAATTACAAATAATATAGTAACAAAATTGATTATTACTTATTTTACATTCTAGAAAAAAATTACTACAAACTAATGCTATTTGAAAGGTAGAAAAATTTCTGAAAATGAAAAGATGTGTTTGACACTAAGAGAAAATTATAAACTATTATCCCGTCGTACATGTGACTTGACTTGATACTGAAAAATTTTCAAAGAGGCTGAAGAACTGATCAAAGATAAGAGGGTCGACAATTTTTATTTTAATTTTAAAAAAGTAGGGTTTGTCCCTAGTAAAAGAAAAAAAAAACATCAAATTACTTTTTCTCTTTTTCACGGTTTGAATAGAATTTGTGTTTTTTTTTCTTCATTGACTCGAGGTGCTGCACTGATTTTCACTATACCTTGCAGCAATTAATACTTAGCAATTTATTTTAGCAGTATAGTAGTGGGTATATACACTCATTAATTACTTATTGAGCTACTACTACTACATGGAAATCATGAATTGACAATGCTACTTTTTGACTTCATGTCTCCTATATGAGTATTTCATTTCCCTGTTATGACCTACCAACTCGTATTATACACAAACTCTGCCTTAATTTTTGCATCTTCTTCTATGCAAATTGCATCTACTAAATAGCTAGCCACTAGATCTCATGTTTCATACTCTCTCCGTCCACTTTTAATTGTCATCTTGTGCATTTTAGAAGTCAATTTGACTAATTTTCAAAATTAAATTAGTTTATATTAATTAGATATTTTAAACAAATATTTTAGATATTCAAAAACTATACGAAAAATACTATAAATTGCTATTTTTACATATCAATATGATGAAAAAAATACATAATAAAATATTAAACAAAGTTCTTATAATTTGACTATGAAAAAGGAAAACTATGACAATTAAAAGTGGATTGAGAGATTTGTACCCAAAGCAAGTCGTAGAAGTTCTATACTTCCTCTGTCTTGCTTCGTTTCCAAGTTGTATTTGATGAGTTAGAAAGTTTAAAAACACGAAAATCAACATTTGAGTGCTTTGTTACAATTTACAAATTAAAAAATTGATTAATTTTGGAAGTTTTTAATCATTCAGGGAATAACCTTAGGAAAAAAAGGTGCATGGGAGTAGTTGGGAAAGTAGAGAAAAAGGTGGAGTCCTTTTTGGTGAATGCTTTTTCACTACCCAAGAATTCACATATTATAACAATTAAATTAAATTATTACAAAGTTGGGGGATAGAAAGAGAAAGATAAAAGATTCTTTTGCATTATGTAACAAATGAGAAAAATCTAAGATAAAAAAGTTTTAAGTCCCAACATTATAAAATGTCTTTGATTTGGTAAACACAACTCTACCACGACACATTGATTTGTGTTTTTTCGTCCTTATATTAACAAGAAACATTATGAATTGATATAAAAAACAAAAAAAGATTCTAGTAAAAGTTGTAATGAATAAATGTTTTTGATTCTTTTCCAAGAAGATACAAGAGTCAATTCCCTCCAACGCGTCAACCAAAAAAGGACTAACAGTGTCAACCTTTCACTTGCATTAGCTTTTGGCTTCACTAGCATTTTCATACTCATACATAACTCTGCAACAAGAGATAACGATATTCCTCCTTGGAAGACAATGACTTAATTAGTTTTATTTTTTGTTTAATCTATATTTAATATAGCTCTTGATGAAATGATATACTAAAAAAGAGTAGATTTCTTACCAAAATACTTATTTGAACTTTTAAAAAGTTTGCTCAAAATTACTATATTTTAAAAACTATTTGGTCAAACTCAAACTGTTTCTTAACGAAGGTACTTTTTTTGAAGAAAAAATAAATCAAAATAAGCTTATTTTAGAAGTATAGCGTATAAGCTATATGTAATTAGAACTTAATTAGAGTTTATCACCGATTAACTTGATTAATTGATTTTAACTTGCCCAAATTTAGCTTGACCTTGTGTTTAAACACACATAATTCCTTTATCACTCTTATACTTAGGCTAAGCCTTTGAATGATGATATTCCTATTTAATGAGTCAAGTCATATATACTTGTCTTCTTTTGCATGTTAATTGTGGGCCGAAATAATGATAAGGGGAAATCCAAGTTTGCAACTCCCACCTCCAGAATAATACTTGGTGGGCTTGGCCCAATCTTAATCACTTGGTCTTCGATGTATCTTCAATTTCTAAATATCAAAGTGCCCAAGCAAGTTCCCATTATATGAGTCTTTTCTACAATCTAATGTTCAGTATTTTGAGCTAATTAACTTTCTTATAATTGACCTCAAGACAAGGATTCGATTCCCGTTTAATATGATTTACCTTTGAGGTCGATTTTTAACGAAAAACTACCTCATGAAAGTAACCCAAATATAATATTACTGTCCTGAAAAAAGATATTTCATACCATTTTGTTGATTGTCCTTTATCAAAACATGGAACTAGTCGATCAACTAGCTATACTATATGAAGCTTTTGCAGTGGAACGGTAAAGTTAAGCACAAAATAAAGAAAAAACAATAATTTTAAACTTGGAAAAGGTGATTCTTCATATCCTAAGCCAAGTAAAGGGAATTAGATCATTATCGAATTTAGTTGGACTCCAACATAGATATCTCGATATTTTAAAAAAAAAAAATCATTATCATGTCCGAATCAAAGAGTGGGGAACTATACTAAATAAAAGACATGGTTAGAAAGAGGACAAAATTTTGCAACATATATATTTGGCAATTACCTCCTCCATAAATCTCTCTAAAATCAGAATCTTACTGGAATGTTTGTTTATTTCAGCCCTTTCCTCTTATTTATATTATATACTACTATATGTCATTCTCTTATCCGACCACTCCCAATTTGAATCCTAAAATGTGCAAGTGCAATGAATTTGACTAGAAATACATATAAATATTGATATAAGGTTTATCTACATTCTCAAAAACATACCGACAATATCCTATATATACATAAAAATAATTTTAATCTTATTCAGCACAAAAGTGTTATTCTAATAAGCCCTTGCCCCTATAATTGCATGTTATTTTTGTTTTTTATTCGATGTTTGATCTGATCCCAAATATGGAGTAAAGTGCTTCCTAACAAAGATAACTCTACTTACCACAATCCTAGATATAAATTGAATAAGGAGAACGCCAATCCATGTCATCCAACAAAACGAGTGTTTTTGAAAGGATCACCACAATATAACAGTGTAAAAAACAACAAACCTCTTTAATTTGAACATCTGTCTCTTCCTCAATTGACGATTGATATTATGTATATATGTTCAAACACAAATGATGATGAGTAGTACTAATAACTAAAAGCAACAACACAAATCCTCAAACCCCACACGAGATTCACACTAGAAAGTCTTGTTTTTTTTCCTTTATGAAAAGATCACTTCACCCAAAGAAAATGGAACATATGAAAAGCAAAGTTGGAATATAATGAATTAAAAACAAATAGATAAGACCACGTAAGTAGGTTTACGTGTTGATACAATTGGAAAGTGGCTTTGCACCATTGGTTATGAGACAGAATATCTTTGCTTATGTCCCACGCAATTATCCATTAGCACTTCCATTTTCCAATCACTTTATATAATATTGTGTCAAATAGGGTCTTCAATTCCCATATTGAAGTAGACTCATCATTTGTAATTCAACGACGAATAAAGTCTTATATATTTAAAATATGATATACATTGAACGTTTTTAAAATAATACATTTTTGGAGCTTTTCAAAAATCTGAACAACATAGATAAACGGTATAAGATCTTTTGACGTAAATTGTATGATTTTTGTCCAGAATAAACTGTATTTTGCCATATTAAAAGTATCTTTCTAACTTAGTCGAACAATAAACAAGATGACACATGTCCTATTATCCCAAATACACCAAACAAAAGCAAAAAAGACTTGTATTCATACACGAAAAATATGTTTAAAACTAAAAAATCTATAAAAAGATAAAAAAAAAAGAGAAGAGAAATAGTACTTTAAAAAGGTTAAAAGTTACTATTTCTGTTTTAACTTACTATTCAGAGAGTATCCTTATCCATGATATAAACATGCATACCAAATTTTATATCATCATATAATCATAACACTCCAAAACTAAACATGTACACCCTGGAGATTCAATTCACCTAATTGAATAGTACTATTAAAGGAAGTGATAAATCATTTTGCAAAATGAGAAGTCAGTATATATGTTAAGAGGATAAAATAAAGAAATAAAAAATAAGTGTACCATATAGCGATAGACACCTAGTCTTTATTTTGTCATTACTAGAAAACATTTAACGGCCCACCAAATGTAGTATATTTTTATTTAATAAGAGCATATATCGTGCAACCTAGAAATTAAAAGCACAACTGAAAATGGCTCCAACAAACTCAGACATTTGGGCTCAATCAATTATGTGCAACGACAACAACATGAGAAGAAGGTTCAATGATGAGCAGATTAAGTCATTAGAAAACATGTTTGAGACAGAGTCAAGGCCTGAATTGAGGACAAAACAGCAATTGGCTAAAAGACTTGGCCTGCAGCCAAGACAAGTAGCTATATGGTTTCAGAACAAGAGAGCTAGATCGAAATCGAAGCAACTTGAATTGGAGTATAGAATGCTTCAAATCAGTTATGACAACTTAGGTTCCAAGTATGAATTACTGAAAAAAGAGCATGAATCCCTCCTCATCCAGGTAATTTTCAGGCCACGGTACTGTTCAATTGATAGGGCAAAAACAAACTTCGGGAAGATTCTGTTTCTGTTGGGCTAAATATCTAATTATGTTCTCAACAAACTATTATTACAATACCTTTGTTTCATTTCAACAATCTTCACACACAACAGACTCTAGCAGAAGGCTTTAGATCACAAGTTTTAAAAAATCAACATTCTAGTATGAATCGCTAATAGTCTTTTTATGTTTACAGCTGCAGAGACTTAGAAAGTTAATGGAAAAGGATGAGATTGAGAAAGATGTCATTAAATCAGAAACGGAAGTGAAACAAGATGATTTTGGCTTACCTTTGGCTTTGTGTGAAGACAGCAGGGGAATTGACTACTTGGGACCAGAATCTGATATTTTAGACATGGCACAAATAGCTGATGGCTTATCGGAGATTGAAAATGGATACAACTTCGAGTCGAGAACGTTTCTTCATGATAATACTGGTTGTACATCACCATTGTGGGAATTTTAATTAGTGTTGGAACTTTGCTGTCTGTTACAGAACCTTTTTGTCAGTACAACCTAAAATGAATGATGAATAATGAGATGTAAACAATCATATATAGCGATTTCTTAATATGTACTGCCAAAACTCATACTTGTATCTACTAAATTAAAGATGGTTTAAGCAAATAGGTCAAGAAAGCTCTGCAGTACTAAACAGGAAGCTAAGCAAGCTCTTAATAAAATCAGTAAAATTCTCCTTATGCCCACTATATCCAACCTCGGAAGATAAGTTCGTGTTCATAAGAAGTGCATGCTCGAAGATAGGGGTATTACATTCTATATGTCATCTTAGATAAGCACGGATACTTATATCTCTTTGTTTTTCCGATTTTCCAAGATATTGACGAGCTTCTAGGTTGGCAGACTTTACTAAAAGAAGAGGTGTAGAAAGAAACTGTCGCAGATAGGAAATGGGAAAGATAAGTGATGTCCAATACACTTTTTGGCTCAATGAACGGGAAGAGTGGATATAAATGACAGGAGTATCAATTATATTACTTTTCAGTTCATGTGAGTCAAACACCAAAACAAAATCATGTATAATGTAGTTGAACTGTAACAACAAAACGCCCTTTGGTGGCTGTCAAGTAACATTAGGCGAAATTGAAAGTAAACACCACATGCATATTAGTGTGTTTTCATACATTTGTGACACCCACATTAAGTTGCAACATTTTTTATTTCACGACTGCTAACTCTGTACAAAATCTGCTAATAAGAGAACCAAGCAGTCAGCAAAGTTGCTCAAATTAAGGTGTTATATTTGGTAGTCACTACTCACTATATTACTTGAGATGCAATTAGCATTTCTAATTTTGTTTGAAATTACGATTAGGATGTCAACAAGAGATCTATTGTGTAACCATAGTTGATGTTCTTGGCTCACTTCGGAAAATATAACAGAGAAAGATACTAAACAAAATAGCTCAAAATCTTTGATATAGATAAAACACAAATTCATCAATGTTTTTAGGATAAAATTGAACAAGCAACCCAACAATACGTTTCTCAACATCAGCAACTACATGTTGACAGAAATTCAAAATCACCATCTACTTGATCTTCTTCTTAGGCCTCAACTGCAATACCAAAGAAATGGTAAAAGTTAAGTGAGAAATCAACATATAAGAGTTTTATAATGTGTCTTGAAGAGTCTAATGAAATGAACCTGGTTGCTGTGCCCACACTTCTTCTTGCGGCAGTTGACAGCACGGGGATGTAGGCGAGCATAGCACCTTTAGAAATAAAGAAATAATTAGAAACAAAAATGCATTGACCATACAAAAACCCAGTTTTGACACAGCTAAACTTTTTCCCACTTCCAGCTATTAACACATCTACAACTACATCAATTTTGATAGTCAAACTTTGACCATTGACTGTTTGAAATAACAATATAAAATGGTGACATATTTCATGGTTATAATTAAATGAGACATGTCTACAGTTGTAGAAAATATTTCAATGTTTTCTCATAGTTGACAAGGGAGTTAAATTACCAAAACTTGGTACCAAACCAAAACCTAAACCTTAAGAGCACAAACAAATATCCAGTAATCTAGAAAAGTCTCAAGTGGTGCTGTTAATTGCTATGATTTGTTCTTGAAAAAACATATAGTCAATGATTTTTAAGGCAGAGAGGACCTGGATGCCCTCAAAATAAGAACTGAAATGAAAATATAAGTTGGCAGTAGAGACCACATAAACTAATTCTAGTTATAAGGCCATCATGTATAGCAATTAAAACCAAGTCACTTATCCTGTTAAGTATAATAAAGAGAAGCTGCTCAACAATGACCAGAGTGCTCATTAACATAAAGTGACCTGCAGACCTAGGATTTGTCATCTTGAATGGTAGAAACACTAAATGATTTAAGGTGAGAAAAGTAGCAGAATTCAACATGTGAGGTTGAGTCCGGTGCTCGATGCAGTCCTCTAGCAAAATGATGAACTAGTCACTACCCCAAGGCATTCATGGGTAAGAAAAACAAAGGTTCTTTAAGGAACATGATTGACCATATAATGGAGGCACAATTTATTGTAAATCATGGGGAGAGAAGCATAGAAATGTACAACCACTAGTGAGAACACATTAATTTTCACGTATGCAACTAACCTAAAGCACATGCAGAAGCAGGAGGGACCGAGGGGGTACCACTTGAAATCATGCCAGGTATTATTTGTTCAGATATATCTTCCTCTATTATGAATAATATATCAAACTGACACTCCAATTCACATTCCCTCATGTTGGATCATTATTTCATTAAGAAAAAGAGGGAACATTTTTGAAAAATCTACTTAAAATTTCACAAATGAAATGTTACCCGATCACTTTGATTAAACATTTTAAAAGGTCTAAAATACTCCCCATTATGAGACATCAGAAGAAAGTCAGTAAATATGCAATGTATATTTAAGAAATGAATGTATAGACCGTCTACAGAACTTAAAATACTCCCCATTATGAGACATCAGAAGAAAGTCATTACATGGTGTTTCCATCACATTGAAAATATAAGCAACTCTACTCTGATAATGTACCAATTCAGAAACAAATAATTCTCTAATATATGTCCCTATATGAGCTTAATAAATTTGGGTAATAGTAGTATTAGGAAAAAACGCAGTATCAGAAGGACTAGCACAAATATGATCAGAACAATAAAACTACATATGAGGAGCAACATAAGTTCAATGAAAGACTTACTTGCGGCAAATCATCTTCTCCTGATTGTACTTCCTAGCCAAAGCCATCAAAGAAGGCTCAATAATTCCTCCACGAAGCCTCAGCACCAAATGCAAAGTCGACTCTGCAATTGTTCACATCCCATAAAAAGGCATCAACTTTTAGCTAAATTATCAATAACCCATAAAAAAAAAAGTATCAACCTCTAGCTAGATTAACAATAACCCACAAAAAAGCATCAACTTTTAGCTAAATTAGCAATCAATATATCAACCAGGAGGAAGACTGAATCACTTAACAATGGCACTTTCAAATACATATAGACCAATAAATTGAATCTATACCTTTCTGGATGTTATAGTCAGCAAGAGTGCGGCCATCTTCTAGCTGCTTACCAGCAAAAATCAGCCTTTGCTGGTCTGGAGGAATTCCTACAGCACCAAAAAACACATACACAAAATCCTTATACTCAATGATAGAAAAAAAGAGTGTGTTACAAATTTAGCGAGAGTACAAAACAAACAAACCTTCCTTATCTTGAATCTTGGCCTTGACATTGTCAATAGTATCACTGGATTCAACCTCTAGGGTTATGGTTTTACCCGTCAAAGTTTTCACGAAGATCTGCATTTTCTCCGCCTCTCGCCACCAATATTCACTCTTCTTCTCTGCTCTGCTGTTTCTTCATCTCTTAATCCTTTTATATCTAGGGTTTATAGTCAAGTGACGGAAGCCCATTGGGCTTCGATTGGTTCTCCCCAGGAACTGGGCTTGGGACAATGTAACTGGAATCCAAAAGGAGGACTTTTATCGATAAATTAGTCTCTTTTTCTTTTTAAGAAGAACTAAGACATAAGAGATCTATCAAATTTTGATTTTATGCAATAATAGTTCTCATTTTTTTGAATTATAAAGAATAAGGATTTCATAAAGGAATAACTAAGCTACAGTTTAACCTTCAAAAATGTAACCTCAAAGTTAGTCATTTATTTGTATCATGTACAAAAATAATAACAAATGATGCTTTAGCGATTTAAAATTTATCAACTTGGACTAATGTTTCATTACATAATCCACGAGAAAAATTAGTTGCGTGCTAACCAATATTTTTATTTGAAAGACCATTCGGTTTATAGACGAATTCATTTTAGGGATTATGATATGAAGAATTATTTGATGTGAATTGTTGTAGCATGCTTATTTGGTATATAATAATGATAATGACATATCTAGTGTAATATCACAGCTGGGATTGGGAGGTGCAATGCATCCACATTTTATCCTGAGATAAAAATGTTGTTTCCGATTTACTAGTATACTCAATTTTATTAACCATAATGAGGTAAAAATGTTGTTTCTGATCTACTAGTATACTCAATTTTATTAACCATGATATTGAAGATCCAAGGTACATAGAATAGTAAATAAAATTTTCTTCAAACATGTTGTTCTTTTTAATAATTCAATCTATGTCTAGTCGAACAGAAGTTCTTTAGAACCTGAAATCATGTCAAGCATAACTTGTGAGATAGTATCATATGAAAATATAAACTTTTGCACAGACATAAATTTATTTAATACTAGAGACGTAAATTAAAGATCAACATAAAACGAGGAAAAATTGCAAATGACACCTCAAGGTAACATATAGGTACGTTTTTTACTGCAGGCACCATACTTGAAACACAAACATGGGCCGAAGGTACATAGTTGATAATGCTACAAAAAAAGTACGATCCATCCCTTCACAAAGCAAAACAAGGCACCATAGCAACTTAACAAAGTTCAATCATTATTTATTTTTAGAAAGGTAACATAACAATTAAGAAAGTTGAAATTTTGAGCTTCTAAAAGGGCATTTTCTCTTGCATTTTGGATAATGCCTTGTCAAGTTGGCTCCATTTTTGCTCCAAGGATCCATTATACCCGATTGACATCCGCACCAATCCAGGTGAAATCCCAGCCAACTCCTTCTCTTCATTGTTCAACTCGCTGCTCGTGCTAGAGCCAGAGCACGACATGAGAGTTTCGTAATATCCCAAACTCACAGCCATGAACCCAAATTGGGTAAAGTTTTGCAAGACATTCATCAAACGATTAGCACGTTCCTCAGTTTCCATGTCCACGCAAAGAATTCCCCCATAACCATAGTCTTTATTAGCCATGGACTTGATAAGTGCATGATCTGGATGGTCTTCTAGGCCTGGATAGATCACTTTCAGCCCAAGTTTGGTCATCCTAGAAGCATATTCCAAAGCCCGTTTGCAGTGTTCTTTCATTCTCAGGCCCAAGTGAGGAAGCCTTTCTGCAAGTTCAAAGGCCACTTTGGGGTTCATAGTTGGGCCCAATAGCATAAGAGACCCTTGATGAAGATCCATCATGGAGTTCACAAGACTTGCTGGCCCACAAACAGCACCTGCATAAATTAAACAATATCCTAATTATCACCTTATCTTAACAATTATTATGCTGCTCACTGCTCAGGTTATTATATTGAAATACAATAACTCA